GCCGTGACTAGTAGGTTGGAGGCCATTGCTAGTAGGTTGGAGGCCATTGCTTTTTTTCGGGGCAGGAGGTGTTGACAAATCTTGAGTTGTCCGATTTGAAGAATGGAGATCTTTCTTGCATGCTACTCAGCTCTCTGCAGTTCCTGGACTTTCAGTATGGCCACTACTCCGGCTACCACAAACGTCACGACCTGAGAGTGGAAAACATATAGAAAAGAAAGAAACACATATGCGGAGGGCCCTGCCCCCATGGCATTGCGGCCATATTTGTCCATGAGTTGTTTGTCAAATAGATGACTTCTTTTCTGGACTTTGTGCAAGCTGTCTTTTTCTCGAATGTTTTGCTAAAAGTCGCAAAGCAGCAAGAGGACTTTGAACAGCTTCCGACGCGTTAAACCGTTTGAAGCCTACTATCAAAGCAGCACGATCGCAAGGATAATTGAAGATGCTGTGGTACTGTAGAAAGATCATGTGGCTGCGCGGGCAAGAAAGCTTTCCAAGTCGGATTCGGTGCACTTGAAAGACTTCAGGCGACCAGGATTGCCAAAATAACTTAATCAAATTAAAGGACCGGATAACCCCACATATGAATCTTTACGAATCTTAAGTTTCTAAAGCACAAAGCAGTCAGAGTCTCAATAGCTTCTACAACACGGCCTTGTCAGGAAGTGATATCAGCTTCCGACAACAGAGGGGTGGGAGAGAAGGTGTAAGAGAGTGATGCGCACGACGGATGTACGAGGTATTGTGCACACAGGTGTGCGCAGCCACAAGTAGCCAACAACACCAGCGGTTGTCGCATGTCCACAATATGGGGCATAATGTACTAAAGTTGTACTACCAAGTCGCCAGTTCTCAGCTTCCAGCTACTCTGCGTACGTACTACAGTTGTACTACAAAGTCGCCACTGCTCATCTTCCAGCTCCCCAGATACTCCGCGTACTCAAGTTGTACTACCAAGTCGCCAGTTCTCATCTTCCCACTCCCCAGCTACTCCGCGTACTAAAGTTGTACTACCAAGTCGCCAGTTCTCAGCTTCCAGCTCCCCAGCTACTCCGCGTACGTACTACAGTTGTACTACAAAGTCGCCACTGCTCATCTTCCAGCTCCCCAGATACTCCGCGTACTCAAGTTGTACTACCAAGTCGCCAGTTCTCATCTCCCGACTCCCCAGCTACTCCGCGTACTAAAGTTGTACTACCAAGTCGCCAGTTCTCATCTTCCAGCTCCCCAGCTACTCCGCGTACTAAAGTTGTACTACAAAGTCGCCAGTTCTCAGCTTCCAGCTCCACAGATTGCTCCGCGTACTAAGGTTGTACTACAAAGTCGCCAGTTCTCAGCTTCCAGCTCCACAGCTACTCCGCGTACTGAAGTTGTACTACAAAGTCGCCAGTTCTCAGCTTCCAGCTCCACAGATTGCTCCGCGTACTAAAGTCGTACTAGAAACTCGCCAGTTCTCAGCTTCCAGCTCCACAGCTACTCC